GGATACTGAAAAGATATTTTATTTTATGTACTATAATATTCTTTTTACAAAAATGTAACCTAATTTTATTTTATTTTTGACATTAACAAGGGAATTACAATGATGCAAATTAAGTTCAGAGAAATCCAATTTTGATACTTTGGACTAGGCATTATAAGCATTGAGTCCTCTCTTCTTGATTTAGGCAAATAATAAGGTATAGCGCCACAAAGATTTGATTAAAATAAAAAATTGATTTATAGGACATACATTATTGTTGAAAACATTTTTACTTTAAAAGTTCGAATTTTCCGTTTACATATAACAGAATTGGTCATTAGTCATAGGTATAAGAGGTGTTTCTGAATTATAAATACAGCACAGCTTACGAAACTATTACGAAAACTAATTTATTCAGACATTTTACAGTATTTAATTTTGTTGCAGCTATTTTTCGCATTCCTTCTCTAAAAGGAGATGAAAGTTCGTTGGAATTGCTGTGTTGGAACGATGTTAGTTGGTTGCTGTCACAACGGTGAGTATCACAATTATTTACGCTACAATACTTTTTTTCGTAATTGATTATAACTTTCAAAAACAAAAAAATTGAACTTATTACTTTTAATTTTTCTACATTTCAAATCTCAACTCATCATCATAAGGTCGTCAGTCCTAAGACTGGTTGGACACCACGCACCTCCACTCTTTCCTACCCTGGGCTAATCTTCGCAATTTTCCTAAAACTAGAACAATCCACATCCTTCAATATTTGCAAACATTAATCTCATCTAGACCTACCTCTATCCCTCCTAACTCCCGCTTCTGCCTCTATATTTCTGACCAACTTATCCGCGGTACCCTCATCATCTATTCTCAGGGGCGGTGTAATAGGTGGTGATATCTATTACCTAGGAAGCTCTCACTTTTTATATTTTCATTTAGGGCCGATTTTTCACTTAATCTAGTCAAAATGTTGCCATTTGAACTGTTGAAACTAACGAATACAGGTATTTACTTCAAAAAAATCAAGTGGAATGTCTCTTAATCTCTAATGTAACTAAGGATGACACCTTAGCTGTTGAAACCCGTCTAAATACTTTGTGAAATTTTCGGCTTTTAGTATTTTGATTTTTCGTTACAACGCTTCCTACTTCTTTCATATAGTATTTACATCTTTTACATTCATTATCCATTCGAAAACTTAATGTAACATCAATTGCTTTTCTGTCTCCCATATATTTCGGCATTATATCCCCTTTCTATGGGATAAGAAGGTGTATATATTCATTTAATTCCACTTTTGGATATATTTTTATTTAGAGAATTAGCTGAAGAGCACCTGCTTCGCTAGGTGCTTACCACCCCAAATCGCCCACAGTCCTTCCTCTGTAAAGTTCTATCACTTCAGCAATGTTTAGCTATGTCGCCGGTTAAAAACATTCTAGAATTCATTAAACTTATTGAAATGAAACAGATTCACACACGTCCACCGACCTCCACCAAAACAGCTTAAAGCAGGAACTACCCCGAAAACCTACTCAATGCACCATTGGCTATATGATGATAACTTTAAAACTCTATGAAAGTAAAAAGTTTATATAAGTTATAAAATTAATGTTTGCTTTTGTTGCAGCTATTTATGGTTCCTTTCTACACGATCATGGAGAAGATTCATTGGAAAGTATGTACCGGGAATGCACCGATGAATTGATTACGACCTCAACGGTAAATGAGCGTTATTCAATTAATAATTCTCGTTATATTTTTTATTTTCTAATTGATTTCATTACTTTTAGAAAGTCAGCTGAAAAATATTATGTTTGTTAATTTCCTCTCCCCAAGTTCCCTGTTTAAGGAAACTGAGAGTATCTATTGGTTTTTATTTAAACCCTAATTGTATGTTAATTTTCCAATAGTTTATAACTTTTCATTTTTTATTAACATTTAAATACAAAGTTGCGCTTCGGTAAATATTAAAATTTATTGCCATACATAAAATATACATCGAGAAACATTGCATTCAATCTACAAAATACAGTATGATTATTTTTTATAATATTAAAATCTTTGGTAATAGATGCAACAAATAAATTTATTGTGTTCTTGTGTTTACTATGAATATGTTTATTGTTTTATGTGATTAAAAAGAAAACTATAATGTAAATAAAAAAAACATGTACACATATACGCTTACAAAGATTAATATAATTAGTTCATTCTAATTACTTTTAACATATTTCTCTGTTATTTAGTATAAATTGTCTTTGTTTCCACTTCTTTTTTTTTTTCTTTTAAAATAATTAGTACTCATTTAACCTTGAATACACCGTTACGTACACTTATTTTTATTTTTCATGAAATTAAGCTAATAACTTGACATCGTTATTCTTTTTTTGCTCAATTTTTTATACAAGTCATTNGTTTGCTTTTATTCCCCATTTCGGTCATAGTTTTAATATTGTATTTACACGATTTCTTATAACTTTTGTAGTTTCATTTATATATTTATTAAATTATTGAAGCATTTCTTTCAGCCCTCTTTCATTGTTCGGTAGTAATACTATGTCATCTGTTTCCTTGTTCATTTATCGCTTAACTTCTTATAATGTTAAAAGGCCTCACTGTTATCCACCAAATTCGAATAAAATTAAATAAATATCCTTTTTCTTTTTTTCCATTATTTTTCACCAAGTTGAACACAATTAAATTAACACCTTTTTTCTTTTTTTTGCTCGATTTATTATAAAATTAGGAGTTAATTTCTGATTCTTGAAGAAATTTAAAAAGTATTGTTTATTAATTAAACTGTACGCCAAAATAATATTTTATTTTCTTGCAGATCCTTGTGGTTTACATCGCCAATGTTGTGAAAGAGAAGAAAGCAGAAATGATACGAATTTTCGACATTCACTACGATGAGTACAGGTCCTTAAATGTTATCCACAATTTTTTTAATTTTGTAATTGATTTCAAAGTTAAGTTTCCATTATTTTTCACCAAGTTGAATAACACCTTTTTTCTTTTTTTTGCTCGATTTATTATAAAATTAGGAGTTAATTTCTGATTCTTGAAGAAATTTAAAAAGTATTGTTTATTAATTAAACTGTACGCCAAAATAATATTTTATTTTCTTGCAGATCCTTGTGGTTTACATCGCCAATGTTGTGAAAGAGAAGAAAGCAGAAATGATACGAATTTTCGACATTCACTACGATGAGTACAGGTCCTTAAATGTTATCCACAATTTTTTTAATTTTGTAATTGATTTCAAAGTTAAGTTTCCATTATTTTTCACCAAGTTGAATAACACCTTTTTTTCTTTTTTTGCTCGATTTATTATAAAATTAGGAGTCAATTTCTGATTCTTGAAGATATTTAAGGAGTATTGTTTATTAATTAAACTGTACAGCAAAATAATATTTTATTTTCTTGCAGATCCTTGTGGTTTACATCGCCAATGTTATCGAAGAGAAGAAAGCAGAAATGATACGAAATTTCGACATTCCTATCGGTGAGTACGGGTCCTTAAATGTTATTTACATTTTTTTTAATCTGTAATTGATTTGATTTGATTTTCCATTTTCTTGGCTCAATTTATTATAAAATTAGGAATCAATTCCTGATTCTTGAAGATATTCAAGAAGTATTGTTTATTAATTAAACTACACCAAAATAATATTTTATTTTCTTGAAGGTCCTTGTGGTTTACATCTCCAATGTTGAGGAAGGGAAGAAAGCAGAAATGATACGAATTTTCGACATTCACTATGGTGAGTACATGTCCTTAAGTCTTATTCACAATCTTTTTTATTTTGTAATTGATTTCAAAGTTTAGAGTTTTCATTACTTTTCACCAAGTTGAATAGAATTAAATTAACATCCTGTTTTTTACTCTATTTATTATAAAATTAAAAGTCAATTTTTGATTCTTGAAGATATTTAAGAAGTATTGTTTAGTAATTAAACTGTACACCAAAATAATATTTTATTTTCTTAAAGGTCCTTGTGGTTTACATCTCCAATGTTGAGGAATAGAAGAAAGCAGAAATGATACGAATTTTCGACATTCACTACGGTGAGTACATGTTATTAAATATTGTTTACAGTTTTTTTAATTTGTAATTAGTTCCAAAGTCAAAAGATCCCATCAAACATTTTCTTGTTTTCACTTGTTTCACGTTGTTAGATTATTATTGCTCATCTGTGAATAATTAAAACGATTGAGGTTTTTCTTGTGTTTCACTAAATTAAAAGTAAAGTACTTTTTACATTTATATTTTTGCTTCTTAAATATTAAAACTTGTTATTTTGCTTTTCTGAACCATCGGACTTCAATATTCAATATTCAATATTCTCACATTTAGAATACTTTTTATAATTAATATCAATTATCTTTTTAATGATTCTTTGCTTTTTATTTATTATTAGCATAAATGTGAATCAAAATACATAGTATATACTTTTTTGTTCTTTAACGTAGTTCACCTGTATTTCTTTACTTTAGGGTAAGTTTGCTTTTATTCCCCATTTCGGTCATAGTTTTAATATTGTATTTACACGATTTCTTATAACTTTTGTAGATTTCATTTGTTTTTTTATTAAATCACCATATCTACTTACGCACTTCCTAATAATTGTTCTGGTAGATTGAACATATCACATTCATTAGGTCACACATCCCTCACTTTTGGGTGACTTGTATTTTAATTGTTCATTGCTTTTCATTTGTTATCAAATATGTATAAATGTGTCTAGTATATACTTTTCATTCTTTAAAATAGGGCAAGTTTGCTTTTATCCCCCTTTTGACCCACTCTTTTGGATTAAAATTAACTTAATTTGTTATTAACATGTCTATATTCCTTGGTATGTCTTTTTAATCAATAACCATTAACTTTTGTTTATTCTAAATTGTACGTATCAATTATTTGTTTTTATTTCTTTATGTTTATTACATATTTACGTAGTTTTATTTATAGTTTATTATTTTTTCTTCAATTTTACTTCTTACTTTTTACATTTAATATTATTTAATTTTACAAAGGATTGAAATTAATAAATTAATAAATAAAATGCAATCATTGTATATCTTAAATAATGAAATTATGTTTGTTACAGGACAACTACCATGATCATCAGGGGATGTGACGACGTGGCATCACTTTCCACCACAGGAGTCAAGAGGACGGTAATACGTCGCGCGTGACATACGTCGCGTCGGGAGTGTTCTGGAGCGTCCAGATTCGAACTTCGAAGTCACCAACACCCGGAATCCCGGAAATTGCGGGATGCTGGGTCTTGGAAATTTCGAAATTCGAATCTCATGGTCTCCAGGGTCACAGATCCCGAAATTTTCGAGATCTGTTACTTTGGAGACCCTGAGACTCGGATTTCGGAATTTCCAAGACTCGGTATCCCAAAATTTCCGAATTTCAGGTCTTGGGGACTTCTAGTTCGAATCTGGAAGCTCCAACGTCTGGGACTTGTCCCGGACGGTCTTCGAATCACAAAATATTTCACACTAAACCTGGTAGGCCTGAAAAATTTTTTTAAATAAAACAATTTGTACGGTTCATGCTCTTTTATTTGTTATACCCTCCCGCCCCTTGTACCCTCCCGCCCCCCGT